GGGCAGTGGTGGCCCACGCCTTTAATCCCAGCACTCGGGAGGCAGAGCCAGGTAGATCTCTGTGAGTTTGAGGCCAGCCTGGGCTACAGGGTGAGTTCCAGGAAAGGTGCCAAAACTACACAGAGAAACCCTGTCCCGAAAAACCAAAAGGAGAGAGAGAGAGAAAGAAAGAGGGAGAAAGGGAGGGAAAAATGGAAAGTAGAGGTGTGCACACCTCATGGCAAGAAAGGGAGGAAGAGGAAGAAGGGAGGGTCCTTAAAGGAGGCTTTATGTCAGAATGCAGGACAGGTCCCCAAGGGGTGGACCAGAATGCCAACACCACCCCAAAACTCATATGTTGAAGCCCTAGCCCCTCAGTGTGATGGTATTTGGAAATGAGATTAGTAAGGCATGATGTAGATGGACCTTGTTATAAGCTTATTGGTGGACACACCAGAGAGCTTGCTCTCCTTCTGTACCAGGTGCAAACCAAGAAAAAGCCCTTACCAGAACTGACCAGTTTGATACCTGAATGAAAAAAAGAAAAAGAAATAAAAAGGAAGGACATGACTGCTCCTAGGTATGGTGGAGGAGAAGGTTTATTGTAGATTAAAAGGGAGAGAGTGTCAAAGACAGAGACATCTGGGAAAGTCCAGAGTGGACATGACCAGACTGAGCTGTGCCACGTGAGGAGAAGGGGGAGGGGAAGGAGTCTCTGATGAAGAGGGGCATCCTGGGCCAAGAGACTGGCATAGCCAAAATAGCTGAGTTGTATAGAGCCATCCATGTGGAGAGTTTATTATAAGAAAGAGAGAGAGAGGCCAGGCAGTGGTGGCGCACACCTTTAATCCCAGCACTCGGGAGGCAGAGGCATATAGATCTCTGTGAGTTCGAGGCCAGCCTGGGCCACAGAGTGAGTTCCAGGAAAGGTGCAAAGCTACACAAAGAAACCCTGTCTCAAAAAACAAACAAACAAAAGAGAGCAGCTAGGACAGGAACTCAGCAGGGCAGGACCCTGCAGGCGGGAGCTGATGCAGAGGCCATGGAGGGGTACTGCTTACTGGCTTGCCCATCATGGCTTGCTCAACCTGCTCTCTTACAGAACCCAGGACCACCAGCCCAGGGATAGCACCACCCGCAGTGGGCTGGGCCCTCCATCATCAATCACTAATTAAGAAAACGCCCTACAGGCCTGCTTACAGTTTGTTCTTATAGAGACATCTTTCTTTTTTTTTTTTAAAAATTGAGGTTTTTTTTCCTCTGAAATGACCTTAGCTTGTACCAAGTTGACATAAAGTTATCCAGACAGGTGAGTTTTGCTGTTGTTAATTTGTTCTTTTGGGTTTTTTGTTTGTTTGTTTGTTTGTTTTGAGACAGGATCTCACTGTGTAACCTTGGCTGAACTGAGATTGCTATGTTGACCAGGCTGACATCAAATTCACAGAGATCCGTCTGCCTCTACCTCCTGAATGCTAGGATTAAAGGCCTATGTGTGCCATGTTGGGTGGGTATCCATTTTGTTACACATAAAGTAATATTTCACTGTAGGGATATGCTACGCTTGGTTGGCTTATGACTCAGTTCGTGGATGTGTGGGTTTCTCCCACTTTGAGCTTATTGAGAATAACACTGCTATGAATATTTGCACAGCTGTGTGATGTCATGTCTCTTGGGAGTACCCTTAGGAGTGGAAATGCCTGGTCCTATATTTAACCTTGTAAGGAAGTGCCAGTCTGTCTGTGGTTTTGCCTCCTCTCTTAATTTTCCTGGATCACACCTAGATCAGTACTCTTTCCACTTCTTTGCTTGGGAAAGATGGGTCATGGAATCCCGTGTGAACTCCTCCTCCTCCTTTCACTGGCAATGGATTTGCTGTTCTGCTCTCAGGGCCAAGGCCGTTTCATGTGAGGACCCATCTGGACATTGGAAGTTCCAGCCCTAATCAATCGAGCAGCTGTC